TGGCGCACTCATATTACAAATATCATAGCATCTGCCAATAAAACACTAGGATTTCTGAAATGCAACCTTCATCATGTCCCCACGCACGTAAAACTACTAGCCTTCAAATCACTCATCAGACCGAAGATGGAGTACGCATGCGCTATCTGGAGCCCACACCAGTCCTAGCTCGCATCTGCCCTGGAAGCAGTCCAAAACCGTGCTGCTAGATTCATTCATTCCGCTTATTATGACCGAGCTAGTGTATCATCATTGAAAGCGGAATCCGGTTTGCCTAATCTCTGTCTTCGTCGTCATATTGCCACGCTATCTTTATTCCACAGATTTTGTTACAGTGATCTCTGTCATCCAACTTACATCGTTCACCTTACGCGCATACCTCATCGCCGCGGACATGAACTGCAAGTGTCACGCCCACGTGCTCGCACCCTCACATTTTCCTCTTCATTTTTACCCCGAACAGCAACAGACTGGAATGGCCTTTCTCACACCATTGCAGCCATTACTAATTCATCAAAATTCTTGGACAATGTAACAAACTTTCTTACTGAGTGAATTCACCTGGCTACACTGTATACTCACCCCTTATGTAATACCCCCTCGAGGGGTCTTTAAGGAAATAAAGTGATGTGATGAGTGATGTGATGTTGTGCGCAGAAGTGACATTTCTGCCTGTCAGCACGATATGATGGAACCAATTTGCAAAACATTATTCTATGGGTTTGTGCTTTGTGGCCATGCACTTGTCCTCACCCTTTATGGAACCTAATGCACTCATATGGCAAAGATACATAGAAAACTTTACCGCCCAAGCACTCTGTGCACGTAGGTAACTGCTGAAGCTTTTTTAGCCGCAGGCAGTGGCAGACATCACAGCTGAAAGCAAATTTCTGTTCTAGAAACTCCCACAGAAAGCTGGTGTCAGCCCCTCCGAACACGTTTCAGCCATCTTATCACGTAGACGCTGCTATGCCTGCAACGCCTCTTTCTGAGCTGACTGCTGTCATTTGCATTCCACTTGGAAGACTGCGAAACATGGTTGTGCAGTTGCTGCTTGTGCTTCGCCACCAGAACGTATTGTGCCCGGAGGGCTGCGTTGGTTCAGCGAACATCAATTCCCTCACAGATCAGCTGTCGGCGCTGTTCTTGGGAAGTTGTCTGCTGTTTGGGCAGTCGTATGATCTGTGTCTTCCCGATGTTGTAACTGTTAGTTGAAACTGCTGCTTGCGGCACGGCTGCGAAGGAATGAACGACATCATAGATGGCACTCCCAACAGTGCACATGCTTGTGCGGATGTGGAGAACAACACAACTGATGGAGCAGCCAATGGAGACTGTTATCGTTTCTCCTGGCGAATGGTTTTTCGTTTCATATAGCCATATACAACTTTCAGGAGAACTTGTGTTTGTCTAGTCTGTGCTTACTGTTCGGCATCTCAACTGCCTAAAATATGAGGCCAGAGGAAAGCACACTCACCTCTGTTGTTGTACCTCCCTCTGCCCTCGTCTTTTTTGTGCAATCAAGATATGGAAGATATACAGCTGTCATTGCAAAAGCTGCGACTTGTGCATAATTGTTAGGTTTGGGTGACTGTACACATTTATGTACAAGTTTACAGTAAACTATCGGAAGAAGCAGGGAATATGACAGGCAATACTAAAAGTGAAACAGAGGCATTTAATTCTGCCTAGGTGGGCAACCAGCCAGGTTGTGCAGTGTTGGCATCATGGTTAGTTTCATGCCATCACGTGCAAGGAGCATTTCACCATCATTTAATATAACTTTATGCTGAGAAAGTTTCTGTGAAATCTCATGCTGACACTGAAAAAACTACAGGTGCCGTCGTCTTGTCACTTCCGTTTGGCGTCTCAGCAGCATTCTTTCTTGCTGCTCTCGGTGCCTTCCCTCGTAAGCTCCTTGTTCCTCAGGCTAACCACGGCTGCTCAGTGAGCATGGCAGCAATGAAGCAGGAATCGCCCTTGAAGATGCGCACAACATTCACTTAGTGTGTGGAGCCACACTTCAAACATGCCGCCACTCACCTTCCACACTCTTGAATCATTCTTATCGTCGTGACTTTTTCTACGCACCTTGCCAACACTCTTATTTTATGGTCACAAACTATGGCGTCACAGGTTTGCTGTAAATATTTAGTCATAATGTAGGAGACGACATTTTTACTTAGAATAAATGAATGAGTCCTTGTGCATCTAAAACTCGGAGAAACTTTCACTTATTGGTCATCTGTTGGAAAATGATAAGACCGGATAATGAGCATGCAAAGCGTAAAGTGCTAATAGATGACACTGAATGAAAAAGGGAAACACACACACCACAAAAACTGACAAGCATCAGCATGCTTGGGTGTGTTTTTTTTTGAAAATGTCATACCAACTAGCTCACCTAGCTATCCTTCATGTGCATGCGTGGATTTTTTCCCACCTGCCAATAGGGTCAGTCACTGGCATGCAGCGTATGAGTGCGGTAGTGCGCTGTTCTCGTCGGTTTTTCATTTCAAGGAAAAGGACAAAGCGATAGGAGCAGCGTTTTTACACTGCTCCTATCGCTCTGTTACATCAAATTTTGCCAAAAACTGAGCGACAGCCTAGTGGAAATCATTCGGAAGATTAAGACTGCTTTCGGTGACGACTCTATGAGGTACACACAAATTAAGGAGTGGTAGAAGTGTTTTAAAAACGGCCGCACATTGGTGGAGAGCGAGCCACGCTCTGGTCAGCCATCAACATGTCCAAATGACCAGATCATTGCCGAAGTGAATGCTGTGGTGACGCGGGACCGTCGTGTGACTATCCAGGGAATTGTGGAAAAGGTGGCCATCAGCACTTTCTTTGCATATTCCATTATGGCCAAAGATTTGGTCATGAAGAGAGTTGCGACTAAATTCATGCCGAAACTGCTCACGATAGAGCAAAAGCAACTGCGTGTTGAAGTATCATAGGACATGCTGGATTTCACAAGCAGTGACTCTAACTTCATGAACACCATTATTAGGGGACGAGTCTCTAGTGTACGGGTACGACCTGAAACCAAATCCCAGTAGTCACAGTGGACAAATTCCATGTCACCAAGACCAAAGCAGGCCCGCCAAGTGCGCAGGCAACGTCAAAGTGATGCTGAGTGCTTTCTTTGACTCCCGCGGCGTGGTACGCCATGAGTACGCACCACAGGGTCAAACGATCTCCCAAGAGGGATGTCCTTCGTCGCCTACGTGATGTGCGGGGCAAGAGACCTGAGTTGGGCTCAACAGGAAACTGGTGCACGACAATGCTCCTGCACATTCCTCATACTTGGTTCAGACTCTTTTGGCAAGAAGTCGACAACCTGTAGTTTGACAGGCTCCTTACTCTCCTGATATGGCCCACTGCGACTTCTGGCTGTTTCCCAAGTTCAAGAGGACATTGAAAGGAGAGTGATTCCAGACAGGGGAGGACGTTATGACTGCAACGACAGCTGAGCTAAACTTCATTCCGAAAGAGGCTTTCTCAGAATGCTTCCAACAATGGTAGCACCGCTGGGAGAAGTGTTTGGAGTTGCAAAGGGACTATTTTAAGGGGGATTAGGTTTACAAGGCTCCTATTATGCCAGTTTTTTTTTTTTTTTCGTCCACAAAAGGTCAGATACTTTTCTAACATACCTTGTACATGTTGTGGGCCACAACCAAAACCTTTATAACACAGTTTGGGCTAATGAGCTCAAGATTATTTTAAGTATAAAATAAATGTGTAAATTAGACTACAGCAGACTCTCAGTAAACGGACATCTGTTAAGCGTAAGTGTTGCCTAAGTGGAACAACTGCCGCACTAGTATTCTGCACCCTTGTCACCTATCTGGAAACGGAATTCCTCTTAAATGGAACATATTGTCCTGGTCCCTTTTGGTGTCCGGGTCTCCTGAAGTCTATAGTATAGAGAATGGCATTATTAGGAATGACTGTCTGTTTGATGTGCAAAAACACAAATTTTACATAGTATTTCATGTTTTTGTTATCATTTTACGGAGGGCTCCTGTGTGGGAGCTGAAATGTTTTTTTGTTTTGTATGTGAACCTATTAAATCTATAGTTTCATAGGTGCAGTCGGTGCCTGGTGTTTTTACCTTCACCACAGTACTGCTCATTCTGACATCCAGAATAATTGCATGCAGATGAACCACGATTATCAGAGTTTGGAGTGAAAAGCCGTGTTACTTTTGTGCGGTCAGCGGATGCCTTGCCCAACTGTGAACTGCACATTGCTTCACTGGCATTCATTCAAATGCCACTGGCGGCAGTTGTGGACGAGTATCGCTTTTCATCACGTTGTGGCAATGGCAAAGTTGCAAACGATGGGAGTGGTTGATTACAATTGCTGAGTGTCATTGAAAGAGATGGCAGTTGTGATGAAGTGCACAATACTAACTAGTTGGATACAACTTTACAGCTCTGTGGAATTCTCGGCGAAGGCGAATGTGCGCAAGCCTGCACAAATGCGCGCGCCTACTCCAGACTGACATCATAAATGGGACGACCAGTGGCCTGACCTTCAGAGAGCATTGCAATGTGTGCATGAGAGGAACTAGTTTCAGTCATGAACCTGATCGGTTTCCTTGCTTCGGTCGTCTGCGAGGGGCCTCTCTGGACTTTCTTAAGTGGTATTTGGCTATATGTAAATTGAATTGTGATCGACTGAACTACTGTCACTCTAAAAAAAACGTGATGTAATGGAATGTGTGTTCATATGCACTTATCTTTGCTTGCCCTGTGCTTGCCTAGCTCGTAGAGGTGTCAGACACGTTCACCTAAACAGGAGCAGGTGCTTTCGAAATTGATGAGCCACCCTTTCATTATCAATTACTTTTACCTACCTAGCCTCATATGTTAAGTGTAACTCTGTTATTATTGCAGAGCAGTAGTTGATGGACACCCCATCTTTGTCTATTTCATATATGGGAGCTGTGTTTGCATGAGCATGCAAATAATTGTCAATAATGTCGTGTGCAGGCAGGTGCTGGAAGTTGTGGCAGGCATTCGTGGAGAAGAACCAGATGCCTTGGCTCTGCAAGTACATGCGAACACATGTCGCCTCTTCTTTCCTGGTGAGGAGGAACTTGTGGCCACAGACCTGGTGCAGTTCATTCAGTAAAACTATGAGCTTCTCATTTGCTCTTGACAATGAATCACATGTTGACAGTGTTTAATCCAAATAAATGCATTGCAGAAACACTTCACAATGCCTCTGCATCATTTGCAATCTGTTGACTACAGGCCAAGTACATTGAGTGATGTGATGCCACTCTTCAGGCACTGTTTACACTCATGTTCAAGTTGAAATGGCTGAGGAAGTCCTGCCTGCACTGCAGCAAAGCTACTGAGCTTCATCGATTTACCAAGTCCCGGATCACTCGCGGACGGCCCACGGACGCCTCGACTCACAGGTGGCTACGTCACATGCACGTGATCTAAATGTCCCGAGCCAGCCCGAGCGGACCCGGGCCATCTGCACGCTTGATGCTGACTGCATCCGCTGTGGCGTCTGCTATGCCTGGCCATGTCGTCTGCTCCCTCCATAGCTGAAACACAGGCCACAACGCTGACTCATTTGCAACCTAAACAGCAGTTAGGTAGTGAATTATACCTATTTCTGTTGTGATGCAACTTACTGTAAGTGAACCATTCGAGTGCGTGTGCATCGTAGACCGGCGCGGTCGTTCCACCGCTTTTTCTCCTAGCAAACATATTGATTGATATGTGGGGTTTAACGTCCCAAAACCACCATATGATTGTGAGAGACGCCGTAGTGGAGGGCTCCGGAAATTTAGACTATCTGGGGTTCTTTAACGTGCACCCAAATCTGAGCACACGGGCCTACAACATTTCCGCCTCCATCGGAAATGCAGTCGCCGCAGCCGGGATTCGAACCCGCGATTTGCGGGTCAGCAGCCGAGTACCTTAGCCACTAGACTGTTTGTCAGTGCTGATGTCTAAGCTTTGCACTGTCACGGACTGCGGAGGGACAAGGGCCTTTGTCAGGCTGTTCGCCTTTAGCCCTTTGCCCCTGCAGTGAGCTCTGTATCCGGCTCACTGTAAATAAAAATACTACTACTACTACTACTACTACTACTACTACTACTACTACTACTACTACTACTAGACCACCACGGCGGGGCTCCTAGCAAACATAACGCAAGTTTGTCTGACCTTAGGGAATACGCACATGCTCGACGTGGCTCAGAACACAGATGACAAGAACTGAGTGCGTTAACATTGCGAAATCCAGAAACATGCGAGAAGCGGACAGAAAAGCAAAGAGAGAGCAAGAGCGCATCGAAAAATTCTCGTGTCTAACTTAAGATGGCCGCACAGCATGCGCACCGCGCTGTCGTCTGCCAGCTGCCCGAAAGAAATTGTTCGAGCGGTCCCGGGCCGCCTGCAGGCTGCCAGGCACGTGAAAAACGAACATGTGTCTGAGTGATCCCGGACCAGCGGGCGGAGCTTCCAGTTGGTCCCCGAGAAAAATTAATGCGGCGCCGGCGTTCAGGGCCGTCCGGAGCCGTCCGGGACGTGTAAATCGATGACGCTCACTGTTGGCGACCAGATATCTGTACATGTGCCCCAAGTCTCATGCCTAGCATCATTGACTGATGTCCATAAAGTGTGATGTCAGTGTTGTTCACTGGACAGTGCAAGGCTGTGAACTAGTCCCATTAAGATCTTCGGTTGTGGCAGGAATGACAGAAGGCTCGACCCTGGCACAAACAAGGAGGCAGGTACCAGTAACAAGGTCGACCACAGAAAACAGGTGGCATGGCTGATTCCCAATTTAGCATGCAGCTGTTATTGACTTGCCGGTGCATTCCCCGTTCACAAACAGGGCTGAGTATGTCAACTTGTTTATTAATAAAGGTGACTATAGTTTTCTCAATTCACTGCAAGATTGTGCAGAAGACTGACTAGTGGAGCAAGTAGTGCAAAAAACAGACACAAGAAAAAAAAAACACAGAACTTTATGGTTTGCTTGATGATTTCTATTGTGTTGAGGATTTCAGAGCTTTCGTTCAAATCATTGATCACGAGATACAATTTGTGGCTTGTGCAGTGGAAAAATAGTGCCTTTGGAAGCTCTTTCTATGTTATTTTGTTAACTCCAGCTACTATTCCAGCCATTGTGGAGGATCTATCATACCCCTGTCCAACGGGATTCGACAGATTGACCCCAGCATCCTTTCAAAACTTCAAGATTGCAGCGGCGATGCAAGCTGAGTTCAGCTGATTGAACTCTACAAATCCCATAATATGCTCCCGAACGCAGGCATCCATTCCTCTCTTGTCAATGAAGCAAATGCCTATAGACATCTGCTCTGTTCTTGCGATATCTGCAGTTCCGTCCGGAAAGACGATAAAAGCAAATGCTGTGTCAACTTCAGCCAGTAGTTCCTCGCTCAGGATGTCGCTACAGATTGCGATGATCTCGTTCTAGACTCCGACTGCAAAGTACGATGATGATGATGATATGTGGGGTTTATTTTCCCAAAACCGCCATATGATTATGAGAGACGCCATAGTGGAGGGCTCCGGAAATTTCGACCACCTTGGCATATTTAACGTGCACCCAAATCTGAGCACACGGGCCTACATCATTTTCGTCTCCATCGAAAATGCAGCTGCCAAAGACGGATTCGGTTCCGCGATTTGCGGGTAAGCAGCCGTACCTTAGCCACTAGACCACTGCGGTGGGGCCAGACTGAAGAGTATTTTGCAATACCAGTAGAAAATGTGAAGTGTTCGTGAAGTTGAGTATCTCCTGCTCCTACAACAAAGTCAAGGAGATTATTAAAAACTCCACTGTCAGATTGCTTCTCACATACTGGCAAGTTATGTGTTGCACAAAATGTACTAGTGGAAATAATGGAAAATAGTTTCCGGCAGTTCCTTTCAACTTACTCATGCGGGGCTTTGTTTAGCTGCGGTACAATGGATAGTTTCTTGCCTGACATCACAACCATAAAGTTATGCGAGGCAGCCGTTGCTTCCTGGTGCCACTGGGATTTCCCATGATCCTTGCACGCCTCGAGCACCCATTTTTGTAGTTACTAAATGTGTGCATGAAAAGGCTAAAGCTACCTTGAGTCTCCTGATGAACATTTGGAGGAAGAGCGATGCAGAAACTACTAGAAGTCTGGTTCGCTCTAACCTAAAGTTAAAGAAAATGTCACTGCGAACCAATTACATTTATAAAAATGGTAAATATAAAGCAATAGCCTCGAAGCTTACTTCGTTTTTCACTGAGTTCCAAGAGTGTTCTTTGATCATGAATATCACCAGTCTTTGGAAACTTTTCAAAACCGAGTTTGCTAGTTTTGTCAGTAGTCATATTACTCTCCAAAGTTATTTCCAGGAAACGAGAGCTGACAAACCCTGGATAGAGCGTATTATAACAAGGGGAGTGCCCGGACCGAACTCCGAAAAGAAGCCCAAACAGGATCAATCCGCTTGTGGTGCTTGATCGGTAGTTTGCAATGTGTTGTCGTTTCAAGAGCTGCGCGCAGCTCCACGGAAGTGGTCGAGGGGTAGAATGTGCGCTTCCTGCTCAAAAGACCCAGGTTTGAATCGCAGCTGTGGACGATGGATTTTTTATTCATAATTTCACTTGCACAGCTGTATTGATTGGCTTTTTTTTTTTAATCTGGCTTCAGTTTCTACATATTGCTACATTAAATCACCGGTAGTATGAAGTAAAAAAGAAAAAACTTGACTGCGAGCGCATTTTTTTCTAGCACCACCACATGGGATTCAACAAGAACTTAAAAGCATGGCTTCCGAGATTTTAGTGAATAAAAGAGAGGTGTGCTTTCACTCACCTTCAATCGCCGCACGTTGGCTCGCTTAAAAGAAAAAAGAACTAAAAGTAAACAATCTTCGGTCGGTGGGAAATCAGGAAGGTTTGAATAGTGGTAAAGCAGCGATGTTCTGTCAGATTTTTCAGTGTTCCTCCTGACACTAAAGACGTAAGCTATTGGCATGTAAAATTAATAAAGCGACAGCGAGGTGTGCGGAAACAGGTGAATATGTTGATATTTTGGATACATATGTAGTATTCATGCACAACTGATATTGCAAACATATATCTTATATTCATGGTCGACTTATACAAAAATAAATTATGCAAACCAATGCTTGCGTTTTACAGGCACATCTATTAATGATCGACGCGCTTTTTGTTGTGTTTAGTTTTGCATCGTTTTCAACTCTCTAAATAGCAGATAAACAGCAAAACTAGAGCCCGCCGGTTGCCTGTGCTTTAGATGAAGTTGCATGGGATACACATGTACTTTTCTTGTACAATTGATCTTTGTGAACGTATACGTTTTGTCTTTTGAAAGCATATTTAGTGGTGTACATTCTGTGCATACGACTGATGGTCATTAACGTTCATTGTAGAGATGGAGTAGCACAAAACAGTGCTTAAGACGGGACACAAGGTAAAAATGACAGATACGTCATAACCGTTTCAATAGTGTACCAACCAGGCCTGCCCATCACAGTTGTGGAGGTAGTCTCCAGGAATCAGTTTTGCTGTCAATGGCACAGTGGTGATTGCTGTGCGTGCGGCTGCTGACCCACAGATTGAGGATTGTATTCCGACCTCGACGGTCGCATTTCTATGGCGTGGAAATGATAGAAGCCTGCATTCTTAAATGTAGGCGCTAAGAATCACAGGTGGTCGTAATTTGCGGAGTGCTACACTGAATACATTGAGCCTGACGTGGTATATAGTTCATCATCATCAGCCTGACTACGTCCACTGCACGACAAAGGTCTCTCCCATGTTCCGCCAGTTAACCCGGTCCTGTGCTTGATGCTGCCAATTTATACCGGCAAACTTCTTAATCTCATCTGCCCACCTAAGCTACTGTCTCCTCCTAACCCGCTTCCCTTCTCTTGGAATCCAGTTTGTTACCCTTAATGACCAGCGGTTATCCTGTCTACACGCTACATGCCTGGCCCATGTCCACTTCCTCTTCTTTATTTCAACTATGATATCCTTAACCCCGTTTGTCCCCTAATCCACTCTGCTCTCTTCTTGTCTCTTAAGGTTACACCTACCATTTTTCTTTCCATTGCTCGCTGCGTCGTCCTCAATTTAAGCTGAACCCTCTTTGTAAGTCTTCAGGTTTCTGCTCCGTAGCTAAGTACCGGCAAGATACAGCTATTATATACCTTCCTCTTG